GGGGACAGCAAATCCCACAGCACAACCTCAAGGGGACAGGAAGCAAGCACCATGCCTATCCCCAGGTTGGGGTGATGCTGGGGGTGCCCCCATCCCAGATGCCCTTTTCCCATCCCTTTCTTCTCACAGGGTGAAGACGGGCGCCCGGGGTCAGAAGGGGACCGCGGGCCGGCGGTAAATACCCTCACCCCCAGCTGCACCCCCAGACGGACCCCTCCCTGACCACCCCTCTCCTCTCTCCTGCAGGGCTTGCCTGGGAACCGGGGGGAGCGCGGGGACAAGGTAAGGGACCTTGAGGGATGGGCAGATGGGGTAGGGGCGAACAACGTACCCCCAGGGATTGTTGTGCCCAGGGATTGGGGTCCCTGGGGAGGTGCTGCCCGCTCCCCACCATGCATTCTTGGCAACACCTCACCATCTCCCCTTCCTTGCAGGGAGATGTTGGGCCCTCGGGGCCCAAAGGAGACAAGGTGAGTCCCCAGGGTGGGGGGCAGCAGGAGGAAGGGCAGCAGCACTGACCCCCCCAGCTCACGTCCACCTCTCTCCTTCGGGTGTGCAGGGCGATACTGTGGTGGTGGAGGGGCCTGCTGGAGCACGGGGCACCAAGGGGGAGCCGGTAAGAGGTGTCCCCATCCTCCCCATCCCCCTCTGCATCGTCCCTCTTGTCCTGGTGGGCAGGGGCTCTCCTGTGCATCCCTCTCCCAAGGCCCTGCCTGCCCTGCTCCTGGCCCTATGGGCTTGATCCTACACCACCCTTCCCTGAGTGGCACAGGACAGCCCCCTCTACCTGCCAGAATAACTGGAGGGGTGTCTCGCTGCCGAGGGACCCTCCCTCAGAGAGCATGTTGTCGCCTCCTCTTCACCCGTGTCCCCATCTCAGGGGGTCATCTGTCTTCCCCACCCTGATGTGTGCCTGAGTGTCTCCCCCTTTCCTAATCCCTCCCTGTGTTTCCCCCTTTGCAGGGAGACCGTGGCCTGAAGGGCATGGAAGGGGACAAAGGGGACAAGGGGGAGCAAGGCATGCCTGGAGAGAAGGTGTGGGGCTGGGGGGTGCAGGGTTGGGGACAACAGAGGGCTGCAGATGGGGCAATGGACAGAGGGACCAGGGCACGGTGGCATCCCTATGTGGTGGTGCTGGGCACCCTGGCATGGTGCTCAGCACCCCAGCAAGGGGAGCTGCCAGAGCCGGCTTTGAAGGCCACCGTGGCCACGCCTTGGCCAGAGCTCTCCCTCCTGCCCTGGGTCAATCCAGATTTCTGCTTTCAGGGGGCGAGGGGCGATCAAGGTGAGAAGGGCTCCATGGGCTTCCCCGGGGCACGTGGTCCTGGCGGGCAGAAGGTGAGGAGCTGGGCACCCCCACTGCCAGAGGTGCTAAAGGGTGCTGGGAGCATTCAGCTGGCCCTGACCAATCCCTTTGCCTTCTCCAGGGAGAGGTTGGAGCATCGGGAGAGCCCGGTGAGCCGGTGAGGAGCCATGTCTCGGTGCTGGTGCCACCCCTCCGCAC